GATTCCATGTAATGGTAAGCAAAAACACAATCTGTGGAGAAACACAATCTGGGGTCCAGTGCATCTGAGTACCAAGGTCAGGAAACCAGAAGGCTGAGGATATCTGAGGAAGAGGAGGAAGAGGATGACCTGTTTTTTTGTTTTGTTTTGTTTTGTTTTGGTACTGAGGATCAAACGTGGGTCCTTGCTCTTCTGAGGCAGGAGGTTACACCACTGAGCTAAATACCGGGCCCAGGAATGACCTTGTTTTTGACTGTGTTACCTACTGAGGGTCTGAGGATGTCCAGAAGAAATTTGGCAGGAGGTTGAGAATAATAATAATCTAACTTTTCTCCCCACAGATTTTGAGTTTACCCTTAACTCAAGAGCTGTTCAATAAGCATTTATTATGTGCTAGGTTCTTGGAGTAGAAAACTGGAAAAGAGATCAGGCCTAATCCCAGAAATCTGTAGACTGGTAAAGCTGGGCACTGATTGTTCGAGGCATTAAAGGGTCTCAGCACTCTTATTTAGGTGAGCATAGGCAGCAGTAGAACATGGAGGGCAGCTCCATAATTAGACTCAAAGAGCCACAGAAGCTTCCCAGAAAGACCTTTGAAAGATGACTTTGAAGTTACATGCCTAGGCTACTAAGAAGGTGGTGGGGAGTCATAAGAGTGGGGAGACACAATAGGGAGGTGGTCCAGTTGCAAAAGTGGTGTGAGTCTAGGAAATGCTAAAGATTTGTTTTGAAGGGGCAGGTGAGAGCAGAACAGCAGGCCTCAGGGATCTTTGGGAGTCTCCTGGGAAGCACACTGTCTGTTAAGCCAGTGCTGTACAGGAAAAAAAAAGAGCCCATGAGTCTAAAGATAATGGAAATCGCAACCTAGCTGTGTGATTTTCCATAAGTCACCCAAACTCTTTGAGGATCAAGTAGCATGGGACTATTTGGAGTCTTACACTCAGGAGCTATATGGGTCAGTGAAAAATTGAATTTCTTTTTTTTTTTTTTTTTTTTTTTTTTTTTTTTTTTTTTTT